ACAGCTGGAGGACATGGAGGCTGAAGGGTTAATAAGCATTTTGATTAAAGTCACAGTGAAAGGCAAGAGCCAGGCTGGGCTGATTACATCTGGCCTGACTCTACAGCCGGTGTGATCCAATATGATGCAAGCCGCATAGAGAATTTAAAAACTTTCTAGTAGACATGTTTAAAAAGTAAAAGGAAGCAGGTGAATGTAATTTTAATGACTCAGTCCTGTGGTGAGCTCCATTCCTGGAGGTAGGATTTGGTAGAGGTCAGGAAACCAACCGGTTCTCCCAGAAGCAGTTTATTGGATGATGTGTCACAGAGGGTGGAGAAAGGATGTCCAGAACTCAAGGCTGTAGGCGGCCACCCCCAGTCGCCTGGGCTCAGCCACAGCCAGGCCCAATAGCGCCTGCCCGGAGTTCTCCACCAGATGGCGCTGCTCAGCCTGTGCACACAGGCAAGCCAAAGGCGCCTGCACCAGAAGGGACGGAGTAGCTCCCTGGTTCTGAACTGTGAACACAAGCGTTCAGGTAGATTTGTCTCCACAGCTCCTTAGGGCAGTCATCTTGCCACCCTCTATCTTCAGGAAGATGGACTTTCAGGGACTGCATGCTTTCCTCCTGCCCCATCCCCACCCACCTGCATTCGATCAGGGATAAGAATGAGAGGTTTCTAGGGTTTTAGGCCAAAAACCCAATTCTTGTACTTTACTGTTGAGAAAAGCCAATTACTTTCCCTGGACTTCGGTTTCCTATTTGAAGCTGAGATCATGTTAAATAAGTCTGTACCAATTATAATCTATTCTGGAAAGTTTTCTCCTTCTCCGACTCCTTCCTAGACTGATTGCTAGGCTAGTAATTGCTGTTCATGCCTGCAGAAAGAAGGGAGCAGTAGTTTTACCTAGGGCAGTTTCTCCAAAAAACCCATGAATTCCAGTAGGGTGGGGAGTGTGATTGTTTGATTAGGAATGTTCAAGAAACTATACTGCCCTGGTGAATGTCACTGAAAACCACTCATAGGGCAGGAAGCTTTCCATATTTGGACCTTTGTTTGGGATAGTGGCACAGCCTTTACTTTAGACATTATCTAGAAAGTATAAGTCCTTTGAAAGACCTCAGAAGATTTGACAATGCCCTAGTTAACCCTCATACTTCTCTACCAACTTTCTGAAGAATCAAAGTGATTTATTTTTAAGCTACCTTTTCCTATTAAGATGGAAATGAAATAACTAATGAATGGCCACCCCACTTGTGGCTTCCAGTCCCTTAACAACAAGAGGATCCTATCTGGGCTCAGAATTGTGGTCTGTTGACATTCACTCCACAAATTTTCATGGTGCCGTATTGTGCCAGGCCATGTTCTAGCCAACTCAGAAAGACAGCAGCCATCAGCTAACAGCCCTCCCTCCCTAACTCCAGTCTTCCCTGGATCAAGAATTCTGCTGACATGGATCTCAAACTGCTAAGTGTACTTCTGATTCACCAAGGTCCTCAAGATGCCCTTACTTTTTCATATTCATTCTTTCTGCCTACCAGGTGCATACTGGAAAACTAACAAGCTCCTGCCTTCGAAGGTTGGTTAGGAGGGTGTAGAACAAGTACATCAATAACTGGACATGAGGGGAACGACAGGTGTGATGTTATACACCAGGTGGGGAATACACCATATATCCCCCAGCCCCCAAACCCAACAGACCTAACCTATACCCTGATGTTGCTCTTTCCACCCCCTCCTCATGCATCCCTTTCAGAAAAAGCAGGGCCACATGGCTTCAGGGCAGTTCCAGCAGTTTCTGTCTCAGTATTTCAAATTCTTTTCTCCTTGGTCAAATTTGGGCTTTTCTTTTGCTCCAAGCCTCCTAATATAGTATTTTAGTCAGAAAGCCAATTTAAACATAATCTGGGTTCTGAGGAACTATGGGGAAAGCAGGAAATTTTTCTTATTTCCAAATTTCTACACATTTGGGAGTTTGAGAATTGAGCCACAGGAAACATGAGTTAAGCTAAAACTCTTAAAATGGCCACAGGGGTTTTAGAATTGTCAGCAAATCTCAGGAAAATAGTTGACAGTTTAGCTCTTTCTTGCTCCAGCTTTCCCTATACAACCATGTTTCTCCAGCAGGGGTGACTTTGCCTCCCAGGGGACATTTGGAAATGTCTGGAGACATTTTTGGTTGTCACAACTGAGGGATGCATCTGGCTTCTAGGGGGTTGTTATACAACCTAAAATATGTCAAATAGTACCAAGGTTGAGAAATCCTGACTTAAGGCTTGCTGTCTGCCATTATGATTTTTAAATTCCCCGAACCCCCGAGACAGGCAGAGATTTCTAGATCTAATGACCTGTGTGGCTAAGTAAAAGAGTTGTTGTTATAGAAATCTGTTTTATGTTTGGTTTTTTTTAAATTTTGTTTTGTGTTGTTTTTTGGCTAAGGGTGGACTTTTTCTCCCACTTATCTACTCCTGGGAGGCATAATAAAATATTTGGGAGGGAGCTTAAGAACAGTAACAGGGTGTTGGGACCCTAATAAACCAACCTTGGAAGGGGGCTCCCTGACCCCCTCCCCCTGGCAGATGCTATCTTGGGACAAATGCCCTTCTCATCAGCCCACCCCAGCCCCAGGGTGCCCAACACCAGTAGCCAAAGAATGGAAGTTTTGGTAAAGATTTCTTACCCACTCTCTGCTTCAGGAATACTTTGTTCCCCCAGAAAACAATTCTTAGGGATTATCCTGAGTCCAGTAAATTCCTCTGCCATTAGATTTCCAGAGTTATTTCAACTTTCTCAAGTGCAGGGGCTGGAATCACTAGTCTTACTGCTAAGGTGGGGGTTTCAGGACCAACCCAAGCCCCAGTAACATGCTGTCATAAAGACAGAGCTACTAGGTAAAGGCTCAGGGAATTCCCACCCATTATTGTTCTCTTTGACTAGAATTGGGAGAACTGGGGATTAGGGAGACAGCTTCTTGATTCTACTCCAGCTCAGCTCCTTCCTGATAACTTATTCAACTGTAGGGCCCTGGACATTCCAAGACCCGAAAGTCCAGAGTATCTCCAAGCTAATCCATCTGAAACAGCACAGTGTGGGCTCCACTGCCCAAGCCTGCTTTCCTCTATACCACCCAGTAATTTTCCCATTGCTCTGTATCCTAATACTGAGCCTGCTGAAGCCCAAATTCCCATTTGCTTAGAAAAACCTTCCTTGATACATCACCAAGGAACCCCAGAACATGAGAGAGTACCTGCCCCTCAGCCCCTCCCTATTTGGCAGCCTTTGGACAGTAGATGAGAAAGTGTTGGATCTGACTCTTTTATTCCAGGCTCCCAAAGTTGGGGAAGCTGTCCATTCTCCAGACCAGGAAAGATTTTAATCTCTTTGTGATCAGATAAATGGGAGAGTGGGGGAGGCTTGCCACCCCGCTGAGGAGGGCCATTCAAAGCTGGTTCCTGTAATAAAGTGATTTAATAGATCTAAAGAGGCCAATTCCCTTCTTTCTCCCACAATTACTTCCTGTGGGTTATCATTCACATATGTAAATGAGGGGGGGCGAGCTACCAGTCTGAAACTCTCTAATGGCGGAGGTGAAACAGGGTGTTGCAAGGGGGTAGCTAAGCATCCTGCTGCAGGTCCTCATTCTCTAGGCAGATGTTCAAGTAGCCCAGTAACCCCATGGCCCCAACAGTAACTGGAGGTCCCCATCTCCCTGCATCCTCTGTGTCCCTTGTTCACCCCACTCAACTTCCTCGCTGAAGGCTAAGCTCAAAGACTTCCTTGCGGCCTCCAACCAGTCCACCCAGCATCTCCCTTCCCCACCCCTCCCCCCCAGAATGCCATCCCTCAGGCTCCAACTCTTAATCCCCACATCCTCCTTTCCCCTCCCCCACACCTCCTAAAGCCAACCTCCCTGAAGTAACCCCTCCCTGCCCGGCCTGGGTGTCAACCTACAGGGCCCGAGATTAGCAATTTCTGCGTTCCCAGTCCAGCCTCAAACCTCCACCAGTGGAAGGGATGCAGGCTGCAAGCAACTTCCTTCCCAAGGTCTTTATGGGTAGCTGGTGGCCCAGGACCACCGGAATGCCTCTAGGATATTCAGGAAGGGGAAGCTTGGGAGGAGGGAGTCCTGAAGTCTCTGGCTCCTTGTTTGAGGCCAGGAATGTTAGGACAGCAATCAATGGCTGTCTGGGGCCATAAATGCCAAGCTGAAGAGAATAGGTCCAGAGGCCAGCCTTCCTCCACCCCCTGCTCTGCGACACTGAATTTCAACCCTCACTGTGCTGCTCTGGTTTAGAACTTGGGATTGTGACCTACCCCATGCCCTCCCAGCCTGGCCCAGAATGGAAGTGAGGCCTGGGATCCTTAGGCTTCCCTTGGGGCAGGAACTGGACAGCAAAGGCCCCTGCCCTGAACTGTAAGGAGGCCTCTGGAGGGGTCTCAGTCCCCCAGATGGATCCTTCGGGGATCTGCCAAACCTACTCAGGCTCCAAGGCCTGAGTTTTGGATGACCACCTAGGTGAGGTCTGCTTAAAAAGGGGACGCGGCTGACTTCTCAGCTTTCCGCCCCTTGGGTCGGGTAACCAGTTCCCCTCACTCTCTCCCGCCCTCTGAGCTCCATTCAGACGTTAAAGGCGTTGGGTGCTCGGGGCGGCTCAGGGCCGGCATGTGCTTCCCTGGCCGGCCTGCTCGCCCTCCCCCCACCGGGAAGCACAATACAACCTTAGTTTCAGCCACATGGGGTCACCTCCCTGCCCCCTGCCCCCTTCCCAGGGGAAAGAGGTAATAGACACGTGGTAAGCCGGAGGGGTTCCCGGAAGGGGGCGGGAGGTGCCGATAATTGGTGCTGCCTTCCATTCCTGCCCTAAGTAACGGGGACTCAGAATTGGGGTGCCACGACAAAGACGGGGACGCACAATGAAGGCCCCAATCCTCAATTCAACAGCCGAGGCCGGCTGTCCACCCATGAGTATGCGCTCCTAGACGCCCTCTCCCCGGAAAAGTTACCGGAATCAGTCTCACCTGGTGCACAAAGACGTCCACAGGGGGGTCGAGCGCGACCCCGGCGCGGGCGGTCATGGACAGGAAGCCGAACCCCATGCGCACGTTGAACCACTTACAGATGCCGGCACCATGTAGCAGCTGCGGCTCGTCCGCAGCCCGGGCCGCGTCCTCCGGCGCCTCCTCGGGCGCCTCCTCCGCCGCCTTGGCGCAGCCACCTGGAGATAGGGAGGAGCGGGCACTCAGCTGGGCGGCCACAGCATCGGAGGGCCCTCCCAGGGAGACCCGAGTGTCCAGCCCACGGGTGGACACCCAGGAGGGCGCAGCTACCAAGCGGCCGGCGAGAAGAAACCTGTCCCGGTCGCCTCCCGCGCTCCCCAAGCTTACACCTAGGCCAGTGGTGCCCCGAAAGTTTTGCTCCTCTTCCCGCAACACGTTTCCCGGGGACACACTGCCGGACAGGCCCCTCCTCTTCGCTACCTCCGCCCTCGTAGCCTCGGCGCGCACGCCACTGGGACACCAGGGTTCCTTGCTCCGGAGGTGGCCCCAGGAAGCAGGAGGCCGCACTGACTTGGAGTCCTTCGGGCAGCCCAGGGGTCACTTCCCCATCTCCCTTCTATGTACCTCCTGGCCGCCCCTGTATCCTAAGGTGTCCCTGCTAACTCCCGAGCTCGAACCTGCAAACTGCTGGTTGGACACGGAGCCCATGGTCGTCGGCTGAGCCCGCGGCCCCTGGCCCCTGCTCAGGCGGCTGCTGGCCCCAGAGAAGTCCGGAGGCAAAGGGGTGGTTCGGAGAAGAGGCAGCTACATCTTCCCCCGCACAATAGCGGTGGGAGGGCCCACGGCTTTTCAAAGGCTCCCAAATTCTAAAAGACAATGACCCAACCCCCCGCGGGTAGCCCCCTCCCCTCCCCTCTCTTCTCTCCCCTCCCTTTCCCTCAGGCTTCAGCTCGGGCCCTCCCCCACCGCTCCTGTCTCTGACACCTCTGGGGTGTCCCTTCTCAGAACCTTGAGGTTTGACACCCCCTCCCCACACACACATCTGGAGATGAAGGCCGTCTGCCCTAGAAGTCGGGGACCCCGGAATTTGGGATCCTGTACTTTAAGGACTCAGTAGGGTTTCCCAAAGCAGATACAGGTGGGGGAAATGGGGGGTAGTTTTAAAACCACGTGACTGCTCCCCCACACACTCACACACCACCCCCACCCCCCGCGCAGATAATTATACATTCCAGAGAGTTGGGGGAGGGAGGTGTGAGCCTGGCGGCGCTGGCCAATCAGAAACACAAACCACCTGTCAAGGGAGAAATGGATGAGCCCTCCCCCTCCCCCAGCCCTTGAGCGCCCCTCCCCCTCCCTTCCCCCTCAGGCCACTGAGCTGACCCGGCTGCTTGGCGCTGACCCGCTCTCACCCCCCACCCCCGTGTGCTTAGATAGACCTGGAGTTCTGGACACCAGGAAGCCTGGATGGGGGAGCAGGGGAGAGGCTGGAGACCCGGCAGGGCTGATCGGTCCTGACCCGGGCGCTGCCTCCCAAGGTCTGTCTGCCTCTCACTGAATGTCTCTTCCTCCCAGAGTTTCAGACTCAGAGTTTTTCTGGATCTCTCCCAATGAGAAGAGAGAAAGAGCTCTTAATTGATTGTGTAAAGAACCTTTCCTTCTTTCTTTCCCTCCAAATCTGTGTCTAAAGTTGGCCCCAGGTAGAGCTCCCTGGGACAGCAGAAAGAACCCAAAGTCTTGTGTGTTTCTCTATCCGTCAGCTGCCTTCTCACCCTACCCCCACCCTGTCCCCATGCCCGCTGCGACAGGGGCTGGGTGGGCTGGTGGTAGAGGCACTTCCTCCTGGACTCGCAACACTCTTAGATTCTCAGACCCTCCTCGTTTGGCCGTCGCCGACCTAAATTGCGCTCCTCTCCTCCTAGCGGGGTTGGTGCAGGAACTGGACTAAGGGGGTCTCCTCATTTGAAGAGGTAGCCGCCCCTTCTAGGAGATAAAGAGGGCTGTCCAGGGGGGTGGCTACTGCCCTGGTCGGAGGTGGACAATGGCCCGGGGCTCAGTGCACGGCCCCGGCCCTGCCCCTTCACTTCCGGTGCTCAGTTCAAACTGGACAATGCCTGCTCCGGCCAGTTCCCCTCCCCCACCGCTACAACCCATTTAAAGGGACAGAGCCTGCTTTCGGGGGAATCCGCTTGCTCTGAGTTCAGTCTTCTCCACCAAGTGTGCGGAACCTCTCGAGCTTCTCACGCCGCAGCCCTGCGTGTGTGTGTGTGTGCGTGTGTGCGCTTGCGTGCGTGCGCGGGCACGAGTGTATTTTAGAGAAAGGGATGAGTGTGGTTAGTGAGGGGAAAGACGGAGAGGAGAGCAAGAGACAGGAGAAATTACCTCCCTTTCTTTCCTATGGAGTGCTCTCCAAGGAACTAAAGCTTAAGTGTAAGGAACAGGAGATAGGAATTTGGGGGATAAAAAGGACGACTGTGGCCCTTTGCTATTCAGCCTAAAAAATACATATTGTTAACAAATATTATTAGCAGTGCTCCACCCTCAAGTGAGTACTCAAATTTAGATCTTTCAATAACTCTCCGAGTACATCAGCCAAAGCCATTTTTATTTACACAATTCTCCCCATCTAAGAGTCTCATCTCCCCCATTAAACTATATTCACTCCCTGTACCTCTCTTCCAAAGATTCAGGAGCAGGTGGCTGAGGTCTGTCCGAAGAAAAGAGAGGGAAGAGGAAGTTGAGCGTGCCCGCTTCGCTTGGTCGGTTCTCCGGCGATGTTCGGTTCCCGCGGCAGACTCGACCAGCGTCTCTGTCCAGGGTCCTGAGGGCGCCAGCAGCTCTGTCCGCGGTGCTGAATTAAGCTACGCTCTCTTGGCTGCCCGCTCACAGCTTTGACAATGCCTTGAAGTTCCCACCTCCAAGTCCTTCCCAGAAAACCTGATTCTCCTCAACCCTCCAGCACAGTAACACTCACACACTTGAGACGAATGAAGAGACTTTTTTGAACAGTAATACATGATTTGAACACTAATACATGATTCTGTGAGAGCAGTGTGCATAACGCAAGCTCCCCTTCAGAAAAATGGGTAGACCTACACATATGGCCGTAGAGAGGAAGAAAAGAGGACATAATTTTTTTGAGTCAAAGAATACCAGAATAGAATAGAGACTAATTTCTGTTTTCAAATTATTTTCTTAATTACTAGCACTTCTTTTCATAGGTACACAGGCATTGGAGTCAGATTACCCATGTTTGAATGTCAGCTCTACTATTAACATTTATAGCTCTGTGACCTGGGGCAACTTTCTTAACCTCTATGTGCGTCAGTTTCCTCCTCTGTCCAGTGGGAATAATGAGAATACTTAACACTCAGAGATATTGTGAGAATGATGATAGATAATGTATTAATAGATTAACCTTTTAAAATATGCCTGACATATCACTTCTCAGCCTTTTGGCTAAGATCAAGTGTAAAATAGTGCCTGACATGCAGTTAGTTGTTAATAATGCAAATTATTACTATTAGTATACTTATTGTGCACATGCTTGTCTCTATAATCTAGAACCTGCTGGATCATTTGCTTCCCGAGGAATGGCACCTTCATGTGTGTTTTACTTCTGCATCTTCCCCCACATTTTTCCCAGTACCCAGGGCCCACAGAAGCCACCCAAGAAAGTTTCCTGAATAGGATTTAATTAAAATAATGAACATTATTAAAACAATCATAATACTTATTCTCCTAAGCTGCCTCTTTCAAGTCTATTCCCAGAAGAACTCAAGAGGGGTTTAGGTCCTTATTAAATTGCATATGTGGAAGCAGAGAATACTTTAGGAAGGGACACATGGTTCACAACATAATTGATTCCTCATGCTCAATGGTTTTTTGCACGTGGGAGGTGGGGACTCCTGACCAAACCTTCTTTCTCTCTTGGGTCCCCATCTCAGTGAAAACTTATTAGGTACCTACTACGATCCAGTTATTGTGCTAGTTCACAAGTTTAGTGGAGGAATCAGATAAGTAATATACACTAAGTAGTATGATGATATACAAAAGAAAAGGAAAGAAGAAACATTCTCTTCCTTCCAAGAAGTTATAGCTTAGTAAGGAAGACAATACATGATAGAGCTAAGTATTATAAGTTCCTTTTGTACTGGTTACTGAGAATAGTAGTATCTAGGTAAAAGGGGGGACAGGAGGTTCTTTAGACAAGACAAGGATGTCTAGTATCAACATGAAAAACATCTTCCCTTTATGGTATTTTGCTAAGTTCCTTTTGTTCAGGTTCATAACTTCATAAAAGTTTAATAGCTGGAAGA